ACAACGGAAAAAATCACAGACATCAGAAATTGATGACAGTCGGGGAGAAAATCTGTCTCCTGGGTTATTTTTTTTTATTTTCAACGTGACAAAAGAGTGTGTGAAGCTTAATTTCCGTCTTCGAGTGCCAGCAGCCCTCCCCCACTCATATTGTTTTAAAAACAGAGCGCTGCATCAGTGCCAAGAGAATAAATAATAAACTCAGGGCATTGTCTGTCTCTGTTGAGCTTCTGCTCAAAGTTTTACGGGCTGACGGATCGTTCTGTGATCTCCACTGAAGCAAAACTTATTTGTGCCAATTAATAAAAAGCTTTAAAAGTTCAACTGACTCGATAATTAAAACTATCACCAGCCACATCCAGTGAACAAACTCATTTCAGCTTCAGATCACGCCGTCTAAACTCCACCATCATTAAATGTTAAAGGAACACTTCGCAACTTCTACTGAGAAACTGCGCCCTCTGCAGGAACACGTGTTTAATTATGTCGGCCTCCGTGTCTGACGTGTGGTTTTCATAGACATTACCCATGATTCTCGGCTTCTTGGACCAGATGAGCTGCAGCTGTAACAAATCCACCGAACTCTTAAAAGTTAAAAGTTGAATATTGGAGATAAACTCTGGGTTTTAACAACTTCTAACTCTCTTCAGTTCAGTTTTACTCTTCAACCTGCTGGAGCTGATTCTGATGGTTCAAGTTGTGACTCTCATCAACGGAATCATCAACTATAAATATCAACTGTCTTTAGTTCACATCCCGAGAGCCGCTCGTCTCATCGACTTCACACTTCGTCTGTGTTGATATTTAACAAGTCACACGCTTCATGCGCTGAGATTTAAGTTTAGTTCACGACAGGTCAACTGATCCAGTCAAACTGTTTTTGAAGCCGCTAATTTAAAGTAAAGAAGTTGCATCGTGTTGCTTTGAGTTTTCTTCATTTTCTCCTCAGAGAGTTCAGAACAGACATTTTCCTTCCGGTGGCTGATTTTAAAAAAATGTGGCGTGAGTCGTCACGTTGAAGATAATTCGGTGATCGCAGGTGGAGCCGCTCACATTAACCTGAGGTGCTTTGAGGAACATCTTCAATGAGGAACATCTTGTCGTAAATCAACTGGACTCGACTGAGGAGTTTTTAATTCTCATCCAAAAAGCCTCTTCCTCAGTTCTTCGGAACTGAAGAAGCCTTTTGGATCCGACTGACTGACAATCTCCGCAGTCTTAAATGAGGTGTGACGGTTCCGCCGCGTTAAACCTCAGTGATTCAGCTCCGACCACATTCAACATCACTTACGAGCGAGCGAAGGACTTTAACCGACGTCGGGTCAGAGACAGAACTTCAGCCTGGTTTGATAATGAAGAGACGGCCGGAGAAGGAGACGTCACGGTTTAAAACCACTGAGCCTCGATGCAGCGTCTCATGAGGAGAAATGCAGCATTTGAACTTAAAATATGAAATAATATATTTGATTGTTTCTGCTTCTTTTAATATTTTGGCAACAGAGGGCGGAAAGTGCCAAGAGCCATGTTTAAATATAAATCTTAGAAAAAGAGAGCTTGGCGTCTTATTGATTCAGAATATTTATATTTATATTCTATATTTAAATTGTGAGTTTGGGATTGTTTCTCTTTCACTTTGAATATTGAAAAGGTTGTGTTCAGGTGCATCTGGAGAAAACATACAGGCGAGCACAACATGTATTAAATGGGCTTTTTTTTTTTAGGTCTGTGCGTTAAAACTCTGCTTGTGTAGGTTTTTCTTAATTATCCATGAAATCGGTTCCATGGCAACAGAGGAATAAAAGCCGACATACGATGTCTCCAGGTCGGATCATGTGACCCCGAACAACATTAGATTCTGATTACATTTTTAAATTCAATGCGATCAATGTACAATGCGGTGAATCGTGTTTTGACATTTGTACGCAGCCGCCGATATTGATTTTAATTGTGTTGGATTTTCTTCTTAGACATTTTAATTGCCCTGTGAAAATATCAGCCGCAGCCAAATGCTACAGGAAATAGCAGAAAAATCAATTGTGAGCAGTTTTCGGTGGCGGAGGTGTACTCGCTCTGACCTCAGCAGGAGTTATGCACAGACGAGTGTTTTTACACTCGACTTTGCTCAGGACGCGACCTTCACCTCTCCGTCGCCATCGATAAAAGAGGACCCGTAACGTTCACCTCTATTAGCACGCCCGATGAAATAGACTCGAAAATATGATTTAAAAAATCTCCACAACCACGCAAATATTTGAGTCGAGGCAGTAAAAGCTCCTGGAGAGTGAGAGATTTATCAGGCAACAATCTTTAAACTTTATTTATGCATCATTTCACTATCCGGCCTCAAGGCTTCGCACACACACGCTCACGTCTTCATACGGTTGTGCGGACACGTTTTAAATTGAAACCATCGTTCCAGTCCGAAAGATTTCAAAGGGTTAACACTTGGTTACGGTTTGGATTAGGATTAGATTAGAGACGGAGCGGGGGACTGTGTGGAAGGGAACGTGTTTCTCTTATGGTCGATTTTTCAGGTTTTATTTTGGCTGAAAGAAAATCAAAAAAGAGAGAGAGAGAGAGAGAGAGCGAGAGATGATTCGACCGTCTGTCGATCATATCTGGAGCTGTTGTGGAAAGTGGCGGAGGTTTGGTCTTTGGCTGTGGTGTTGGAGATTAAGATAAAGGGGGAGAGAAAAGAAAGGCCGACATGTGCGTGCATGCGTGTGCTTGAATCTGTGCACGTTTGTGTGTTGCACAACTCTCCGCTCTGGTGTATTCATTCATTCAATCATCTCCAAAAAAGAAAAGCACATTCAGTCAAATCAAATATTCTTGTTATTGGGCCAAAGTGCTGCAGCAGCTGCAGAACAAAAAACAAAAAGAGACGCTGCACAAGGACACATCGTGTGAGACCCAGAACCATAACGCAGAATAAAAGTGAGTTGAATGTTGCACCTGCCCTAAAAACACTTAAAAATTCAAACGTATAAAAGATGAAAAACTAAAACGTTCTGTTTTCTAGATGTTTGTGTACCTTTGTTGTAAAATGTTTGGATAATTGCGTTCGGTTATTCTCTGGAGTTTGTCTTTCACACGCGAGCAGTGAAGGACATGACGTTTAAATTCTGCTGTGGGAAACCGAGTGTTTGTGTTTACAGCAGTGACACTTAACACTTTTGTCACTGAAATCTCTTGAATCTCGTTCCGAGTCTTACAGTTCACTCAGTGAGATTCATAAAGCAAAAAATGTCAAGGGCAGAGGAGCTGAGGTGCTGCAGGGGGAGACGGCTGCAGGAGGACTCTCAGCTAATGGCAGCACTTAATCGTATCCAACCATTAACCTCTGAAAGCTGGGAGGACATTAGAAAGGAGCATTATAGTTGTAGTGTGGTGCAGCAGTTTCCTCTTTCCTTTTTCATCCAACAGAAAACAGTCATCAGGACAAAATGTTGGAACAAAGACAATAGAAGGAAGGACTGAAGGTGCAAATGAATAGACATAAATATACGTTTCCAAGAGACAGAGAAGCTACGTGTGTGGATATCTGCACTAAAATAGTAAGAAATCTCTATTTTCTGACGACAAGGCCCCAAACACAATAACATAACACAACACAGGGACTAAAGCTTGACCCTGGACTTTCTAAACAAGACCTTTTTCCTTTGTTGCAGCATTAAAGATGAACTTTCCTCAAGCGAAGCAACGGCATCACAATTCACTTCTGTTTTCACGAGTAAAGTCGAAGTGGGCAAAAAAATTAAAGAACTCAAAAGGACGTTCAAGCGTCCAAAAGAGCAACTGGCTCACTGCGTCTGCAAACCATAAACTCTGAGTTCTTCCAGGGTCAGTGTGGAGTTTAAATGTTCTCCACGCGTGTGCGTTCGTTTCCTCTGGGTTCTCCGGGTTCTGCTGGGTTCTGTCGGCCCTGTGACGGACAGCCCCAGCCTCTCAACACCCCGGAGAATAAGCAGTTTATATAATAAACGGATGGATTGATCATAGAGAGGAAGTTTACGAGTTTCTTGAGTGCGACAGAAATCATAACGCGCTGAGACCAAATTAATAAAACCAGACACCTGCAGATGCATCGGTTCCCGCAGATGATTTGGCTCGAGCCTTTTTTCCGTGTGACGAATTACATTGCACCAAATTATGCGGCAACCGAGATCTGAGCCAGAGGCGGCGTTACAGCGAAGAACGATCAAAACAATTACGTGGAAAGCATCGAAAAACACAGTCGGCGTCTTCCCTCGCGTCCTTCAGGTGAAGAACCAGAATGATTCATTTTCACCACTTGATTATTCATTCATTCATTTATAAAACGTGTTTTTGATGAGCAGTGTCGTGTTTCACAATCTCGCAGTGCATGATGGTAATTATAAACGGAGCCCTGAATGATTGGGGGAACTTGTCAGAGCTCCATCGTTCCACTCCGATCTACATAAAATCCTCGAGAAGACGACTCTCAGGACCGGGCTGCTGCTTGGCTTGAACTGCCCTTCACATTGTTCAAGTCGCTCACGACCTCTCGTCGCGATTGCAAAGTGAAATGTTTTAGAAGTGTTTAAAGTACCGGGTCCAGAGTCCTGTCACACACACACACACACACACACACACACACACACAAAGAGCCTGGCATTACTCGAAAAGGAGACGCTCAGATGGGCACAAGTGTTTCTGCCAGCTGTCACTTTGAAAAGGAGGTGACGGCTCTGGATTGCACTTTTTTCGTTGTGTGGTTACAGATTGATTCCATCTCCAGTGGGTGGTTTTTTTTTTTTGTACGTTTGTTTGTTTTTCACGATGATAGGCACAGAGGCGTTGACACATGGATTCTAGACGGACTGGAGCAAACATCAGCTCAGAGCACTTTAATCCAAAATTGGCTTGTCACGGTCTTTATGAGCTTCAGAAAGACAATAAAGCTCTTGTCTATTCTGGACGACGTCCCTCTGTCATGAGGACAAACAATAAAAAGGGGGTTTGTTTTCCCTCCGCAGGTGGAGTCTCCGCTGGCGGTCGATGCAGTGCTGGGAGAGTCTGCGTTCTCCGTCACAGACGACAAGGTTTCCATCACCGAGCTGCGGGTTCACGCCGTCTCGGGCTTGACCCTGTCCCTGCAGCCCAGCCCCGGCAACAGCCACACCATGGTGGCCAAGGCAACCGGCGTTCAGACGCTCACCGCTCCCAAACAGGTACGGCATCATTTATCACACGAGAATTACAGGGAATATTATATTATATTATATTACAATTCATTATATTACAGTGTATTATATTCAAACATCTTCCCACGGTCACATTATTGGTGCTCACATCCAATCTAGGGAGAAAACATTTGTCCTCACACTACCCTGCTCCTGCAGCAAATAGGTTTTGCAGGGAAAGTTAATCGCTGTCTGACAAATGTTCAGCAACTATTTTATTGAATGAATGATTTAGCGTGTACAGCAGAATCCCGGTGGATGTCCCACCAGAGGTTTGATTCCACAGTCCAGTCTATGGTTAGGAAAGGTTACCGTCAGTGTGACCTTTTTCTTTATTTAATTATAAACCCACTAAAATATTCTTTCTACTTGCTAAACACATAAATTAGCATGTTGCTGTATTTTGCTGTTGCAGTGTAGTTGTATACAATCTCGATTTTCAGGAAACAGGTTAACGCCCCATCCAGTAATGTTAGAGAAAGTGAAGACATTTCCATCCTTGGCTTATTTCCCACCACTCCACAAAATGTAATGGAAATCAAAAACATACGAACGAGTTAAAGATGGAAACTGTGCATATCGTTCGTCTGCTTCCTGGAAGACTTCAATCCAAAGCTGCCTGAAATGTAAAGTTCATTTTATTTTGAAAAAATTAACAACGTGTGGTTGAAAATACATCATTAATATGGATGAAGTAAAAATATCCAGGTCACTTAAAGGCTTAAAGTAACTGTGGTTGAGCTCCAACGTTAATAATTGTTGGTTTGGCAGAAAACACAGTGAATCAAGTCTTCAAATAAATACTGAGAAAATGTGAAAGTTAATTTTCTAATACTTGACGTCCAAACCAGCACGAAGGCAACACATTAGATCTTTTTGAATAAGTTGTGCTCCAGTGTCATTGCTAAAAAGACGTCCTATTCCCTTTTAACACTTGAGTATTGAGTTTCCTTATTTGTGTCTCCAGAGAGGTAAAACAAAGATTATTTGCAAATCCCTCCAGTGGCTCCGTCAACAAACAGGCATCTCTTTCACTTCTCGGTAATTAAATTATTTCTGAGCTTAATCTTTCAGCAAGGACACAGTGAACATTTCACTGTCATCGGTGCTGTTTTAATATAACCTCCACGTTGGCCCGAGCTAATATATTTCCAAATATTAACAATTCCTCATATATTGTGCTTTAATTGAATAATTGCCAGAATGGATTGAAAATATATATAAATTGGAAAATCAGAAATTAGTGTTTTCTCTTTACCTCCATCTCCCCACAAAGGAAAAGGGATCACAGCCGTTCACTTCAAAGAATTAATTGGCAGCCCCGCTTCACCTAGGGATACGTGTGTGTGTGTGTGTGTGTGTGTGTGTGTGTGTGTGTGTGTGTGTCTCTGAGCTTCTGCTCTGCCCTTTCATTGGCCCGTGATTCGCTAAAAATGCAACGACAACCACATCAAGCATCAGTGAAAGAGAAGCGAGCATTAAATTCCAATTTTTCTTGCTTTCCGCTTCTTGGCTACCTTGAAATTTAATTATTGTAATGTATTGTCCTAAGTGCTCTCCAAGGCCGGGCCATAAAAGGCAGCCAATTCCTCTGCCGGCAAAGCTCTCAGAGGAGCACCGGAGCTATTTCAAGCCATTTGATTCTGTTTCACAGGAAAACTTTCGAAACGTCCTCTATTACTCTCAGAATGAATGAAACACATAAACTATGGATGGGGATTGTTGGAAAATCAAGGTCCCTCTGCATTATTCTCTTTTCCACTTGACAAAGTTCTTTCAGAACCGAGAGCGTCACTATTCGAAGGTTCATCATAAACCATCTCTGTTTAAATGAGCAACTTGATAAGATGTTATCAGTTTTCAAGTCGATGCAGTTTTTGACAGATTTTATAATTCGAGCCGTTAATGTTAATTTTACATTCACACATACGTTCCGCTGCCATAAAACACAAATCAGAGGAAAACTAAAATAAGAGAATTGAAAAAAGATTGTGAAACGAAACTGCCTGTTTAGTGGATAAGTAAATGTTTGATCGTGTTCGACACGTAACTGACAGAAAGCGACAGGTACACACACTCCGTAGACTGTGTTCCGTTCTGTCTGCGTGAACGGTAACAACTTTATGAAGGGTCCAGTAAGTGACCACATGGTAAATAACGCTGCAGACAGGTATACAATACAGCAAAAGAGCAAAATACTAAGTTAGAGATCTTGTTAACTTTATGTGAAGAGTAAAAAAACACAGGACAAAGTAGAAAATGACCGGTTGCCTTCATCATTAATGGGAAACGCTGCTTTGACATTAACCTTGACAGAGGCCTTCATTCTCAGAGCCTCCTTATACTTTCTCCTCAAATCACGACTTAATTCTAGAAATACTTAGATTTTCCAGCACTACAGTAGGTTAGATCCCAAAAAAGAATAGTGCCACCCCCCCCCCCTTTTTTAGCAATAGTCTTACCCAACACTCATCACCTCCTACGTCCCTGCATCAGATCTTCATGGAACAGCAGGTGCCAGTTGTTTTGTCGGTGTCGAAAACACCCACACACATTTATTCTCCCCTCCGTCAGATTTTTTTCCGTAGCAGAGTCGTTCGATGTATTATTCAAATCATCCGTATCAGAGGCTGTCTTCATCGTGTCGTCCTGAGATGATGGGGGATTGGCTCCTGGTGGAACGCCATCACAACAAAGCCGTCATCTCCCAAACTGGACTGAATTTTACCCTGAGATGACGCAGCGTGCACCTGTCTTTTGTTAGAGGAGACATCAACGTGTCGGGCTCTGTTTTAGAAACGTCTCTTTTTTCCTCTTTGTCAGCTTCGATAATTGTTGGTTGAAACAAGTTGTAAACACAGGGGACTGTCAAACGCGTTTTGATTACATGGTCGCCGGTGTCGCGGTTTACTGTGCGGCAGATCAATGTTGTCAAATACCCAGCGTGCATCTCATCCGGCGTCTCTGCAGGGGAGCGGAGACGCAGTGACAGAGAACACAAAATGAGACTCAACACAAACAAACCAAGAAGAGACGGACAATGCCGCATCATTGGAAGCACCCGCTGCTGCATGTCCCACGTCTGTCCACCTGTCTGCAGAGCGGAGCTGTGTTTTAGGACAACGCAGACATTCCCTTCACCTCGTCGTCCTCCGTGCTTAAAAGTGCCTTTTTTTTTTCTGGGTCGCACATCAGAGGCAGGTCGTCCGTGTGCCTGTCGGGGCCTGAGCCGAGCGTGAGGAACTGTGGATGTTCACAAACGCTCTGGAGATTTAGTGATTGTTGCAGGTCCAGAACTTCAGAGGCTCGGTCGGGATCAGACATTGAAATCCAGAGCTCAGAAAGACTCAATGGACCATTGAAGGATTCTTTAGGGAAATATAAACAGTGCCAGTGCCACAGCTTTGTTTTTCTGTGAATTACTTATATCTGTATGAAAATATACATGTGAGAGAAAAGCATAGATTTGATTAGATTAGAATCCTTTCTGAAAATTGTCTTACATCCCAGGACATCCATTCCCTCGCATAAAGACAAACATATAATTACACGACAGAACAGAAAATACACAAACAGATGACACTGAACATTTAAAAACAAATGGTTGCAGCAAGTTATTTTAGAGAAACTAACTAATCTATATTCTATTTCTGTCTTTTTGTCTCAACAGGAAGCCAGTTTTTCTATCTGGATGCTTTTCAGCGACAACACAGCCGCGACCCTGACGTACTTTGATCCCAAAGACTACAACCTCAATGCCTCCACGCTGGACGACAAAGTGGTGTCCGTGTCTCAGGAGCCTCAGCAGCGCTGGCCCGTGGTGGTGGCGGAGGGGGAGGGATCTGGTGACGTGATTCGTGTAGAAATGACTATCTGTGAGGCGTGCCAGAAGACGAAACGCAAGAGCGTCATCGCATCGGCTGCAGTTTACGCGAAGGTCCGGTTTGGCCCGGAGGAAGACTCTGAGGAAGAGGCCACCACAGAGGGCGAGATTGAACTGGCGCCCGTCACGAGACGTACAATCATTGATCCGAACATTGATGGAAGAGTTTATGAGACATCTAACGAGCAGCCTGCCAGTGTTCCCATCGATTACACCAATTTCCCCACGATTAGCAATCAGGAGCAACCGACTGAGAGTGATGAAGAGGAGGAAGACGACTTTGTGCATTCACCTCGCAACATGACCGACCTCGAGATTGGCATGTATGCTTTACTGGGAGTCTTCTGTCTCGCCATCTTAGTCTTTCTCATCAACTGCATCGTCTTTGTGCTTAAATACCGACACAAGCGGATTCCTCCAGAAGGTCAGGCCAACATGGACCACTCCCACCACTGGGTGTTCCTGGGAAACGGCCAACCACTGAGGGCCCAGTGCGATCTGTCGCCGCAGCAGATAGAAAGTCCCAGTAACCCTTTGGAGGGCGTACAGACTTGCTGTCACGGCGACCACCACAGCAGTGGCAGTTCCCAGACTAGCGTTCAAAGCCAGGTCCACGGCCGAGGTGACGGCAGCTCTGGTGGCTCCACGAAGGAGAACAGCGAGGACGCCAGTTCACCCACCTCCAAGCGCAAGAGAGTGAAGTTCACCACCTTCACCACCCTCCCCACAGAGGAGCTGCCCTACAACTCCATCCCCATTGCAGATGAGGAGGACATTCAGTGGGTTTGCCAAGATATGGGCTTTCAAGACCCAGAGGAACTGCACGACTACATGCGCAGAATAAAAGAAATAGCCTGAGATAAGCGGTGCAGTGTGAAGCACTGCTCTCGGCTTTCTAAAGAAACGTTACTTTCTATTTTTCTCTTTTTCACCTCTGTGAAAGGTAATTTTTCACAAACTAAAAGGCCAATTGTTGTTTCGGTTAAGGTCTGTTCCATTTAGTTTGCACAGTGCTGTAATCTCATACACGCTCACACAGAAGAGAACGGAGGAAGCCAAAGACTCGAGCGGAGGATCTCGATCACTGGAGAAATCTGTAAAAAAACTGTGGCTACAGGAAATATGTGTTTCACCGGGGGAGCCGAGCCATGGCCCGACGTGAGAGCTGCTCCGGGACCAGTTTGGAGAGACAGCCTGATGTGGACAGGAGGTTTAGTTCGAGCCACGTGTTTGCTGGTTCATTGGGACTCTGTAGTGACTGTACCTACGCCAAACTAAGAGGCCTTTGATGAACAGGAAACTGTCAAAGACTCTCATGAAAGTTTAAAAAAAAAAAATCCTTTTGTTTTTTGCCAAAGTAGGAAAAATGGTTCTTTTAACGGCAAAACCTTCTTTCATTGTTGTTCTCGGCGCAGCACACTCATGATTTGTACTCATGGTCATTCTTTCGAGTTTTCTACATTTCATAGGTAGTCTCAAACAGTGCCCTACAGCTAGTCCTCCTGGTCCCCATCGAATCTAATGCCTTATCAAAATGGTCACAGTTCACGTCAACAGACACGTTTCCTCGCCACAGCTAGAGACCGTGTAGAATACTACAGCTGATCTCCAGCATGAGGTATAAATAGAAAAGAGCTTGTGTATCGTGAGGATCTCTTACAGTCTTTGCATGGCAGGGGATCCCGAGGCACAATCAGCAACCTTTTTCCAAATTTGTAAATGTTTGTATTGTAATTATATAATCATTCATACACACTGCAGAAGTAAATATGTTACCATGCATTACACGCATGCCATGTCAGGCCTACATGCAGACATTCCTCTAGTATATGTATATATCGTATCGAGCGGGAGTCACCTCCGGCGCGAACATTTAACACGTTACTTACTCCGACTGAGAGAAAGTGTGTGCGGCTGGCGGATGTCTTGAAACTTTTATAGTCTTGTCGTGAGTAGGTTTGCCTCAGTGACGTCTTGACAGAACTGTAGCTTTTCAAAAAACCGGTGTCGCATTTGATGGAAGAAAGCGGGAGTTTGCTTTGCATCGGAACTGCGACAGATGGGATCTCCCGATGATTTATTTGCCCTCCTTAAATTCAGGCTGGAACCCCGGCCGTCGGGAGAATGAAAAACTTACGAGGTATTGTTGGAAACGTTCTCGCTGAAAACAAGATCCTCCAAACTCTGCAGGAAAATGTCGTCCGCCCACGAAGAAGATTACTGAATAAATCATTGATTTTGCTCCATCCTTTAACTCACGGTCATCCCATGTCGTCATGATGTGTTTCAAACCCACTGTGTTGCGTATATAATCCCCATTATGTTTGATATATGAGATCTTACCCAAAGGGGGGGGGGGGTCACAGATTTGCTTTGGCTGAATTTCGTTCACGGGGTCAGATACTCGCGGCTCTGACTGGTGGATAAATCGTCTGTGATGCTCGAGGCTGTGTAGACGCTGCGGAGGATTTGTTCGAACAAGAATCTCAGGATGCTGATTGGCTTCATTGGCAATTCAGAGTGAGTGAGAACAGCAGTGGCGGTCGAGTGCAGGTTTTCTTGTGCAGAAGCGCTAATTTGCGATGTTGAACTGAAACGATCTTCGTAAGGAAAACAGAAAGTGTGACTTTTTCAATATTTTTTCCATTTTTTGCTGAAACAAACAGTGTTGGTAGGAAATCCGAATGCTCAGACAAACCCGCCCACATTTGCTTTACACACAATCACAAGCACACAAGGCAGCTTACGCTCATCTGCGGAACAAGAACGTTCGGCCCCATTCGCCAGTGGGAGCAGATTAAATCGTGAATCCGAGTTGTCCACCATGAAAGTGACCCAGTGTAAACGCAGGTGTTCTGGCAACAATCCTCGTCTCTCCATCAGTCCACCTCCTCTTTTTCATCTCCTCTTTCTTGTGAAGTTCAAGTGAGAAGACCTGTTCTGCATATTCTGGAATGCGGGGGACGATGCATTGTGCAGGAGGTAGCTAGCTAGCGAATTGTAGTAGGTGTTGAAACAGACAATTCAGCAGGAGAATCACTGATGCTAACGTGCTCTATTTTTTATACACATCGTCACAGTCGTGCAGGAGGGGTTGTGCTAAGTTGGGCTCATGCGTCGCTGAGCCTCGATTCTTAGCGCGCCCCCAAAAAAATCCCAAACACAAAAGAGATACGAACACATGTCAGTCGTTCACAGATTAGTCTCCTCACATGATCCTAGTGATTATTTTCTAACATGTCTAATGTGTTTAGAGACAAAATCCTTTACCCCGACTTTAAGGGTTGACTGACAACACGACACTACAACGAAAACAGAGAGGAAAGTTCGGAAAGAGCAGAAAGTGCGATTTCGACGGGAGGTTGCGAGGCAGCCAGACGCAGAGTAGCTGAGCTCATGACGAGGGCAGAGTTTGTATATTTAATTGCAGCTGCAGTGAATTTTCAACACTGGTGTGGACGACTGGAGACGACGTTGGGAGGTTGATGCTCCTCCAGCTCAGATCTCACACGGAACAAGATCTTTTCAGGACTAATGAAGCAACTACGAGACAGACATTTTGTTTCCGTGTCACTTTCCTTTAATTTCTCTCCTCTGCTGCTTCTAAGGGCTCGGGTTTTTCTTATTATTTTGTGCTAACTGACTTGACTGACAGATCTTTGCTGAGAAAACCAGTGTCACTTCTCTGTGGTGATGATGTGCGCTAAGCTCTGTTCGTTTTGTTTTCCATCCCTCCTGCCTCTCAGCCCCAGCAGCCTCATTAAAGTCCCAATCCAGAATCGTTCTCCTTGTGGAAGTGCTGTTATACGAGAAATACCAGCGTCATGTTTTCTGTTTAGTTCCCAAACTCCTTACTCGTTGGACGATGACATGAAACAGCTGAATACTTTTGTTAAACAGGATCTGAAGACGACAGTATCGTCCTCACAGCTACGTTGTAAAAACAGGTTTTACTTTTCCACAAGACGCTCAGAGATTCTTTTCCTTCGGTAAACCATCCCTCTCAATATTCTACATGTAAATATATATTCACCCACATTTGATATTTTCGATAAAATCCTGGATTGGGACTTAAAGGTTTTGGTTTTCTGCATGATCGCTTTATTTTCCATGTGTTTGAAAATGAACAACGAGCTGTAGAATAATCTGTGTTAACATCTTTTCAAAGAAAAAGAGGATGAGACATTGTTTTTGCGAGTCCAAGCTCGACCTTCAGCCACAGCATCAAACTCGATCTGCCATGAAAACTGAGAGAAGCTGGAAGCGGTGTTTTTTTTTTGTTTTTTTTTTAACTTTTCCGTGTCTCAGGATGAATGTAGGCTCCTTAACTTAAACTGGCTGTTTTGTGTTTAGTGTTGTCAGCCTCAATCTGATGGCATCAGTGTAATGGATTAAGTGTCTAATAGCAGCTTCCTTCACTGTTTGGTTACGGTTTTTCCAGTTTTACCCGACAATTTTATTCACACAATATGTAAATATGTTGCACATAATATTATACAAACGGAAAAACTCTGGTTTATAGATCATTTTTACATCCTACTTCGCTTTCGTCTGAGTTTTTTCATTTTTTTGTAATGCTGTTTCAGTAACGCTGCATATATTGGTTATTTTTTTAATTGTCTTTACGCTGCTAATAGAAACTTTAGTCTTCTTAACAAAAATGTAATAGAAGATCTTGAATTGTATTTTCCTGCTCTCCCTGTGGAAACTGTGCACGATGTGCACGACTCAGTTGGCTGTGCCAAGTTACCACCACACTGACTATAATATGTTAATGTACAGAGCACCGTTAAATTTCATGTATTCTCTCGAAAACAAACCCTCGTATTTTCCTGTTAAATGTAAAGTACTAAAGAAAATGCAATACACAAGCGATTTGTCCGTTTACTTCATTTGCTGAATGAGTATTTTCTGCATTTATCAAACTTGCTTTTCTTGATGTCGGCTGCGTGAGCAGAGATGTTATCAGGGATTCAGCCCCAGTCGCCAAGTACATGAAGAACGCTCTAACCTTGAAGGATTCGGCTCATTGGCCACTTAATACTTCACCAGAGGACTGATGCAAACATGTTTGATTTATACACTGTACGGAGGTAATGATTCTGCTTCTGCACTTTACATCTTAAACATTGTTTTAACTTTCACAACAAACCGATTAATGCCTCCGCAACAGCCAGTGGCCAGAGTCAGAATGTTTTGGGGTTCCCTGTCCGTCCGTCAGTCCGTCCATTCATTTACATTAAGCTCAAACATTCAGTTGGACGCACAAACGAGCTGAAGGCCTTGTGACAAATGTTTCACACTCATGGAATAACTGATTACACCTGGGTGGTCAAAGGTCAAAGGTCATGTTGATCTCAAATGAGTCCAGCATATAATCTGTGTCAGCTCGGTTCCTGTGAGGCCTCAGACAGAGTTGGTCTTCATGGGTAAACCTTGAAGGCTGAACTGAAAGAACTGAATGAACCTGAAGTCTGGTCTACAGAGGGGTTTTTTTTCCCGTGATCTGCATCGCCCGCGTGTCCTGCTCTTATTCCTGTTGCTTAGCAACAAAGCTGCAACCGAACACAACAAGAGCGTTTCAGTGCCCGTTGGTTTTTAACACAGCTGTTAATCTGAGGTGAAGCCTGATACTCGAGCATCAGATGTCTCGTCGCTTGCCGTCACCGCTGCCTCTTCGAAAAACAGTTCTTTCGCCGAAGCACAGTGAAGCCGTAGTTCCTCGGAGGATGAAAGAACACATTTATTGGCTGCATTTGAAAAAAAAACCTTGGAGACGGGACGGGCTGGTCGAGGCGCTGGGATGCAATCAGTCTTTAAATGCAGCCCCTGAATTGAGACGCAGCTGCAGACTGAAACTGCGGTGGCTGACGGCAGCATGGTACAACAGCAGAGCAGTAATCCTGGTTTCATTTTAACTGTACAGTATAGTTCACATGAGACACCTTCATCCATGCATGTGTCCCTGCGTGTTGATCAGATCCTGGCACGAGTCCTACCAGTGTTTGAAGTCCACGGGTCACCGCTGTTCCCCCCCTCGCTGTGGCCGGTCTGCAGGCGCTCGCTGCAGTGGCATGAAGATCCTGCACAGACGTGAGTTCAACCAGCTTCTGCTGCATCGCAGTTCTACTCCTTCAGCTGCTCCCGTTCACAAGATCCACACTCGGAGCGTTTCATTTGAAGTCTGGCTTGTGTTTACTCTGTTAGTTCAAAGTCTTGTGAACTCAGACGAGGCTCGCGGGTCATTAGGAGAGAAAGAGTGCGTCCACGAGGCTGAAGAGACAGATGCTGACGGCTGATCGCCAATGACCCAGACCTGCACAGTCAAACAGGAATATATTTAAATTGAATATTACAGTTTCGACTGATGTTCTTATTTATTGTTGTGTATAAAAATACACATTATTATTGCTTCTTCTCGTGATTCCTGAAAGTTCCACAAA